CGAGAGAGTCTGGATCAAGTCCACTGAGCTTGGTCAGGAGTTAGGCATATCCCGCAAGTTAATGCCACAATACTTTGGGCCTTGGGAGATCTTAGACATTGTAGGAGATCAACCAGACGGTCCTTCATATGTAATTCGCATCCCACCTCACTTGCGTACCTACCCTGTGTTCCATGCCTCTAAGTTAGCACCCTTCGCTGCTACTGAGCAGTTCCCTTCCAGAAGATCAATGCTGCCCCCAACCATGGATGGCGAAGTGGACATTGACCAGATCGTCGAGCATCGAGTGATGCCTGTTCCTCGACCAACAGGCAGAGGGCGACCTCCTAAACCGAGAATGCAGTATCTGGATCCTAAAGAAGACCGGTGGTTCACACGAGAAGAACTCATGAGAACAGCACCTCAAGTGATCGCAGGCTATGAAAGCTCACTCAAAAGGGAAAATGCCTGGAGAATAAGAGACTTCTCAGAGGACCTACGAAGTAAAGGAGGAGGGAATGCGAGGATCTGAGTCCTCGGCAGGCCTATGAGGCCCTGTTTGCTGCATTACCCGCCCTAAGTGGAGGCGGAGGTGCCCGCCCTAAGTGAAGGCGGGCCTGGCTTTTTGCAAGAGGCCATCGACTGTCAATTTCATATTTGGGGTCCAGGTAGTTGCGACGCGACAGTTGGTTGAGAGAAACACACGCCGAGCAACAAAGACATTTCCACGGCCCTCCGGGCTTTTCCAAAGAATGCAGGCCCTGGGCGTGATTCGCAGCCTCATGCAGAGACAGTTGGCGCCCAACCGAACGAGGCCCAGCAGCCCAGTAGCTGCTGAACACAGGCAGCCTCCTAGGGCCTTCCGAAAGCTTTTGGGCACAGGCCAGTGCAGCCAGGCTGCGCGAGTAGGCCGGCTCTTTCCATAAAGGAAAGAGCTCACTCCAGGCAGCCTCATTCAGGCACTCGCATGCTAACGGCAGCGCTGCTGGAGCAAGGCTCGTGGCTGCTGGCTGGCGCTGAGAGGCGACGTGCAGCACGTGCGATCGTGCAGGGAAGAAGGGCGCTGATGAGGGCAGCGCCATAACCCAGCCACCATAGCTGGTGGGCTTGGACTACAGTGAGGCGCAGGGGTGGTCTTCGGGTGAAACAGAGGACAGACGTGGGTGTAGTCAGGGGATAGGTGAAGGATGATGATGATGATGTGAGGGCACATACCTTGTATTGGCGATGGTCTGCATGGGCAACATCTTCAAGTACTTCGGGCTGCCGCTGATGTTAACAGTTGCATTGTCATTTCGTCGTCTGTAGTAGCTGTGTAGGAGTAGGCTGGGCGCTGAGCGCCAAGTGAGAGTGTGAAGGGACTGGACTCTTGTGTTGAGAGGAGAGAGTATGCTCTCCATGAACATTGGTTTTCAGTGCTACGAACCTCCATTGGTGTATTATTGGTGCAATGCTGCTCTCTAGACACGNAGTATGCTCTCCATGAACATTGGTTTTCAGTGCTACGAACCTCCATTGGTGTATTATTGGTGCAATGCTGCTCTCTAGACACGGTGTGACTATCTGGCTTTCAATGTGATGGTGTGATCTGGAATTGTCATCTCGCTGTTGCTTATTTTCCTTGCACAATGGTATGGAGCAGACTGAACGGGTGATATAGGGCAGATACAGAGCTGACTGGTCTTCAGAGGAAACAGGAAGTAGCTGCTAGAGTAATATGAGTGATCTGGCGGTCTGGTGCAGACTGAAGAGGCGGCCCTTTGTTTGTCAAACATACTTATCATCAAACCTGCGCAAATAATCCCCTGGGTACAGGGCAATCAATGGGACGCTGGACCCGCTTTCCAGCAGGTGCTGCTCCCCACCAATAGACCGGAGCACCTAGGTCGTTTGCTAGGGGTGTGTGCTCAAAAAAAAATAGAAAATTGCACTGAATCGCACTCTGTCAAAGTGAGTTTTGCACCAAGAAAAAACTGCGCAGATCGAGGCTCCAAGGGCTCGGCGGAGCCAGAAAGGGCCCCAGCCAAAGTGCCGAGTTGTGAAACCTGTCACGGGACCCTTTTTTGCTGCGCCCTAAGCTTGACCCCAGGCCACTATCTGAATGTGTGACCGAGACAATGTGTGCCCAAGGGGCGTTCACAGGCAGCGATGTGGCACAAGGCCTTTCGGCCAATCAGGAAGCAGCAAGTGACAAGAGCCATGCCGCACAGTTGGGTGGCACTAACTGCTTCGGCCCCAGGCCACTATCTGAATGTGGGACTGGGTGCAGATACTGAGTCTGAACGTGAAGCTACTGGGTACCTGGCTCATCCAGCCAGACAGGGCTCACACAGCAGAATTTCCATGAAGAAAACTGCTCGCAGCGAGGCCAGACACATTCTGCCTGGCATTGTCCGAGAGCCCTGCCTCTGTGGGAGCTCAGTCCAGGCAGAGCGCTGGCCAGTTGTGGCATACTGCGCAGCCACACGGGCCTGCACGGCCCGACCAGTGTTCTCATCCTAAAAGCCTGAAAACAAGGGCCTAGAGGCCCTGTGTTGTTTCAGCCTAAAAGCCTGAAAACAAGGGCCTACAGTCCCTGTGCCGTTTCAGCCTAAAAAGGGCCCTCCGGGCCCTGAGTCTTTTCCGCCTGAAACGGAGGGCCATTTTCAGGCCCTCATAAGATCGACCTGCCCTGAAACTTAGGCACCAGACCAGGGTTTTAGCACAGGCCATTTTGGGCCTGTTTTCAAGACAACCTTCGTTTGAACGCCAGGGACTGGCACGTTTTGGCATTGGCAAGAGCAGCCTCCTGGACGGGCCAGCACTACATAAGACTGGCCCGCCCTGCAGGCTGGAGGCAGTCACGAGGTAGTTCATAGGGACTTCCCAGGCACTTCACGTGCAGGAGGCAGGAGGTAGTCTTCAGGATTCGGCAGCAGCACTCTGGAGGAGCGCTGCAGTAGTAGTAGTAGCGTTAGCAGTAGTCTTCAGCGCTGGGCGCTATTAGGAGCTAGAGTAGCGTTGGAGAGAGAGAGATGGTTGGCAGAGGCCAGGGAGACTTACCTGTATGGCGCCATAGCTCCAGCTTCGTCTTCGATGTACCTGCAACAAGGTGCCACCTTCACAGGTTAGTACCGGACTCTGAGAGAGAGAGAGAGAGAGAGAGAGAGAGAGAGTCCTTCTTCCTCTTCTAAGTCCACCATCTCTTCCTCACCCTCTCGCTACCTGACTTCTCAGGATCTGCAGACTACGAGAGAGAGAGAGATTGGTGACTTCGGGACTTGACGACATTTGGATCCAGACTCAACATTGGGATTGAGACATTGGACGAGGGATTATTTGGGACCTGTACCGAAGACTTGGTGTTGACGACATTCCCATCTTCCCCTCTTCTTCGTCTAACCCCACTCTTCTTCGTCTGTGTATGGCTGGGGATTGGCGCACTCTTCCTGTGTGAGCGCCAGCCCCTTTCACACCATGGAATGATGATGATGATGTATGTTTGGTCTGCATTACGACATTGACTGGTCTGATCATTGGTATATTAGCCTTCCGCTGCGCTATCTTGTACTATGTAAGAGAGGTCGGTTCTTGTTCTGGTCTGCACCTTTACGGTATGCGACGCCAGTGGTGAGCACGTCCCGGCGCTGGCGCAGGACGCTGCTTGAATCAGTATCGCATGTCGGCCATAGTCGGGCCGAGCATGCATGGTTGTTGGTGGGGTTGGATGGTGGTCCTTGGGACATGATGGTATGGGGTTGGATGGTTGTCCTTGGGACATGGTGGTATGCACGTTATAGAAAAAACAGGAATCGTGAGTGGAGGAGAGAGAGAGGAGGACATACCTGATCGGTCGTGGAGGTCTGCACTGGCGACATCTTCCCATACATCAGCTCTGCTGCTGAAGTCTTTTGGTTGCATCGTTGTAGTGTAAGCTAGAGTAGATGTCGCAAGTCTGTGGATTGGGCACCATTCACCAGCTAGGAGACCGACACTCAATACTTTGTCGATGGTGGCGAGAAGAGGGGCTGACATTGACAATTGGATTCATTGTTTTGCTCTTATTGGCATGCAATTGGTTCATTCTGCTTTCTCTGTGCCACACAACTATCTGGTTTTCAATATGATGAGGCAATTTGGATCTGTCATTCGCTCTCGCTAATTTTCTTTGCAGCAGGGTCATAACAAAAAACTATTACTAAAAAAGAAGGGTAACAACAAAAAACTATAAGAAAAAAGAAAACAATCTCACAGCATCCCTCAGGACATCCGTTAAAATTGGAATGATACAGAGAAGATCAGTGTGGCCCCTGCGCAAGGATGACCCACATAAATCGAGAAATGGTCCAAATTTTTGAGGGGGAGGGGGGAGGAGGGAGGGGGGGGGACAATCTCACTGTCTACATATGGCCGGTTTCAGCTGCGGACAATAGCAGGACAAAGCTCAATGCCAATGTAAGTTCATGCTCACATTTGGACTTTCAAGCACGTACCTAACCACGATTACGGCCAGGTTTAGTCCAGAAAGTCCTGGTGTGTGGCACAGTACCATGTGATGATATGCCCAAGAGATGACAATCAAATCTCAACACCACTTGTTGAGACCAACACTTATCTATATACAGCACCGAAACAGCGAACGGCAATGATGTATATGATCTACAACTTCTCATCCAGCCATCAAGCATCAATGGGGTTGTCTCCAATCATCACCCATCAGCCCGACCACAATGGCTACCACTCGCCAACTGTGCCTGTCCCAATAATCACTAGAGCCTCCAACGCTTACGGTCACACTTTCCACAAGTGCCACTCCTTAATCACCTCACCTCACTCAGTCATATGGCTGCCACACCTGCAATGCTGAGCCATCACTGTGTGAGATAGCGTAACAGACCCAGGTCCATTGCCATGTGTGCACACCCAAAACACTCCGGCAATGCGACCAGATTGGAAGCTAAAAGATCGATGATGAATGTGATCTGTCTTTTAGCAAATAAAGAACAAAATTTGGTGAAATATGGAATCCGTCTTGTAGGGGATCAAGAACATGCCTTTTATCGAAGCCAAAAAGTGTACAGCCATAAACATATACCCAAGGAAAACCAAATAGGAGAGGCTTGCAGCCCCACCATCACCGGTAAGACATACAGTGCAGTGCTCATAGGAGTGGACAGGATAATAAGCTCTCAAAAATTTTACTCTCCTTTCCATCCAAATGGACCTCCTGATGAAAGATGCCCATCACTCACAACCACCCCTATTGTCCACCTAGGACCTTAGCTACAGTGGCTGTGGTTTCCAGTTATGGCTGCCAAATCTGTCCCATGTCATGGTAGCCAGTGCTTGCCACTGCAATGCTAAAATCTGGTCTAATCTCCCAGCAAGGGCAGTTAGAGCAGCTCTACCGTTCTTTCCCCTCCATGCTGCCTTGCAAATACTTGCGACAGAACGCATGAGGAATGACACTCAGCAGAACAAATCGATCCCATCTCATCCATCCCGTCCCATCCCATCCCATTCACCCAAGTCCCCTCCTTTCCCCTCCCTCCGATCCCACAACCCTCCCCTCCCCTCCCTCTTGTTCCCTCCTCCTCCCACTGCCTCTCATCCCTTCCTTATTCGAGAACTACCCAACCTAAACTCCGCTAATAAGTATCCAAACAGCGACCAAGTCTACACCAAGATTCCCCTCTCAACAAAAGCTGATGCCTGGATCATGGCGAGGTAGTTCAGAGTGCAGAAGACAAGAACTTACAGCTGCAAAATGCGGTAAAACAGGCAGGGATGATCAGCAAGCATCCCCAAGCATTGCATCCATGCAACCACACATCCATCGGCATCCTTACGTCACATGGGTACTTACCTGAGTCAGCTGACTCACTCTTGAGGTAGGTACTCTCTCCCTCACCTCACGCCATACCTGAATTGTCTCCCTTCCCCCTTAGTGCAATTGTCCTCACCGTATAGTGTGTCAGTCCTTAAGTCAACTCCACTGCCCATGAAGCTGATAGAAGTCAATTAGGAACCATTTTGAGTAGCCTGTATGCCATTGGAGCTTCTCTCCTGCTCACCAACTGAAGAAGAAGACACCTTGATCACACATGAACTTCCGGAGGTCCTCTGGCATGAGTACCTCACACCCTTCTCAATTTCACCTCCTCACTTCAGCACACTTCTCCCCTCATCTCGCCAACCCTAAGCCACAATCCAGCCCTAATCTGAGGTCCAGTACATCTCAACACCTCGCGGAATTAGGGTAGATCAGTACGAAAGTCACCACCTCAATACCTCCTTCCTACCCCTAATGCGAGGTATAAACTTCCCAACTCCTCTCAGAATCAGGGTTGGAGTAGTAGCAAATCAGCCCCACACCCTAGTCCAGCTTAACCATGCCCGAATCCAAGATCGACTTGCCCTAACAATCTCGAAATCAAGGTTAGGGTGGCTCAAACACCTATCCAGCAGGTAAGGTCTAGCTCCGAATACCAATTGTTACGATCCTGCTTAACCACGCCCTAATCCAAGATCCACTTGCCCTAACCATCTCGGAAATAAGGTTAGGGTGGCTCAAACACCTGTCCAGCAAGTAAGGTCTAGCTCCGATACCAATTGTTATGATCCTGTTCCATCCATAGTGAAAAACTCAAATTGCGAGAAATGCAACACTTGCTCGAATTCAAACAAGAGATGGAGAGAGATAGAATAGAAGGTGCAATCACCCGCACAGAATCAGTCTGAGATTTATGCTGCTTTTTGAAGTATTGCTGCTCGACGAACTGATTTGCTGAGATTCCCATGAACTGTGTGAGTTTGCTGTGTGTGTGCATGTGTGTAAGTCCCAGTGTGATATTGATATGCGGATTACCAACTGTGTGCTTGTTCTGTGTTTTGTGTGTTCTCGGCGGGATAGAATTAGAATAAGGAAACCTCAGGGGCAAGACTGAAATTGGGACGGGACAGACTACCGGTAAGAGGCTAGGATGGGCAGGGACCAAATAGAGGGAGAGTAGTACCTGGCCTAAGTTCGATCCCCAGACCTCACTTTGCCCATGTACAGTATCGAGTCGACCCGGAGTGTTTGAACCCATGACCTGTGTTTTGGTAGTTGCTTGTCGTCTGTCGTAGGTCTGTGTAGTGGTAGGGGTTCGATCTGTAGGTCTGTCGATTAGGAGTCACAGCTTTGTAGAGGTCGTATCTGTAGGTATTCTGAAGGGTCAAGGTCGTAGCTCATACAGTCCTGAAAGGTCAAGGTCGTAGCTGCTACAGTACCCGAAAGGTCGAGTCCGTAGCCTTCCGGAAGGTCCGGAAGTGGCCTTTCCTCCGGTACCAAAGACAACCCCCAAGCAGCTATACCGCTGCCCCACTTCAAGGTCATCACCCAGCAGCTATAACGCTGCCCACTCAACCGCCATGCCTGACTCTGTCCGAGCTTCCTTGATGCGGCACTACCCCCACTGGGGCCTTCCTGATGCAGCGCCTAGCAAGGAGATGAAGATGGTGTCTACCATAGCCAGTAAGTACCTCGCCACTCTCCTCCTTGGTCCCCTTCTCCCTCCTCCTCCTACCGGTAGAGCTCCACCATAGCCAAGGTGGAAGCTCCCGGCTTCTTCCTCCCAGCAGCGCTCTAGTGCCCAGCGCTACTCCACCTAGCGCTCCAGCAGCGTGACGCCCAACTCGCACACTGAAGAATGAGGCCGGGCTCTTTGCCCTGCCTCTTGATATAGCGGCCTACTTGCCTCCTGGGCGGTGACTTCCAGGCGGCCTACTTGCCTCCTGGGCGGTGACTTCCAGGCCGCTCGGCCTCTCCAAGCAACCGGTACCTCCTCCGTTTCGGAGGGAAACATCATTGCAGACCCTGATATTACCCGTACAGGCTCTAGACTCAGACTGGTTGGACTGGTACCGGCCTAGACCTACCCTACCGCTACTGGACTCTAAAAATGCCAACTTTGTCTTTTTCTGCTCGGCCTCCAGTACCCCCTCACGTCAACTGCAGTGGGGTGCAGTATCGGCCTACCGGCCTACTTTAGTGTTTTTCCGCTGCCCCAAGGGCCTCAGGGTCGCTAGCTTCGCCACTTGAGTGTTTTCCCTGCTACAACCCTCAATGCCACGCTCACAGGTAAGTACCGGCCCTACGGGCCTACCAAACAAGCAAGTACCCTTGCGGGTCCCACACACACTCATACCAACAAGCACTCAGACAGGCATGCAGGTCACAAGCACGAACACACAGACAGACTTAGAAACAAAGCAGAATGCGGGAATCTCAGCAAGGCATCCATTCCATCGGCAGAACTTCAGAAATCAGCAGTGTTCTCAGTCTGTGTTTTGACGGGTCATTACACTACCCCTCCCTCAAGAGCGAGGTCCCTTCGAGCGAGTAACTCAATCAGAGTCCTTGCATAGTGCGTCATAGGCGTAGATAGCAAAGAGAGATCGGGCGTGTTCCGTAGGAGTCAGGGTAGCAGTGAACGTTGGTTGCTGTTCAGCACTTATCAATCGTTCATAGGCATTAACGACACGCGGTGCACTCTGCAGTAAGTCTTTCCTAGCAATCCAATAGAAATCGTCCAACGGATGGTACAGAAAATGAACTTTGTACTGTCTGTTTCTTCCCTTCCCACTGTGTTCAACAATCCTATCAACCTCATGACCGCCATTGATTGCGCGTGGAATCATTGACTCTCGATACTTGAACGTTTCAGGTGGTTCATTTGGAAACAATTTTGACGCATGAAAAACTGGGTATGTGCGCAAATGTGCAGGCACATCAATCGTGTAGGAAGGACCGAAGGAATCACTCCCTACCTCGTTCAAGACCTGCCACGGACCATAGTACTGAGGAAGAAGCTTTCGTGATACACCTTCTTCTTCAGAAAACTCAGACATTTTGACCCAGACATAACTTCCCACTGTGAATGGTGCAGGCTGGCGCTTCTCGTTAGCATGTTTCATCATGGCACTGTGTCGCCTCTCCATAGCTGCGACAGCAAATTTGAGTAGGCGATCGAACTTGGCGTTGTAGCCTGGCTGGCCAGGTGTTAGGCCAGGTGGCTGATCAGGGAACAGATAAGATAGAGGATTGCGGATTTTCCATCCAAGATGCAGCCGGTTAGGCGTCATCCCGGTGGAGGAGTGGATGGAGTTGTTGTACAACCCCTGAACGATCGGCAACTCCTCATCCCAAGAGTTCTGATCAGGTACAATTAGAGCCCTGAGAAGCTGGATCACGGTCTGGTTGATTTCCTCAGCCAGTCCATTGGCTTCGGGGTGTCGCCCAGAAGTCATCTTGAGTTTCATGTCGTAGGTCTGGGAGGTGAAATCTTTCCAGTCTGCGCTTATAAACCTGGTGTCCCGATCACTCACAAGAGTTTTCGGGGGGCCATAATGTAGCACGTACCTTTTGTTGAACTCATCGATCACAAGGTCAATTGGGGCGTGAGGTGGCAAGGGAATCAGATTCAGAAATTTCGAAAACCGATCAACGATCACCATCACTTGCGAATAACCGTTTCTGCTCTTCTTCCCCATGTCCGTGAAGTCAATGGAGACGGACTCACCCGCACCATCAGGGATAGGAAGAGGGTGCAGCAGCCCATAGGGCTTCCGCCGAGATGGTTTGATGCGCTGACAAACTTCACACTCAGCCACAAACCTTTGTGCCATTCTTTTCATTCCAGGCCACACAAACTTTTCCAACAGATTCCCGTATATCTTCTCAACACCGAAGTGTCCACTCCGACCATGAGCCAAGTCCAAGAAATGAGTCATGATTGGCTCATGGTTGGGCACACACAATCGGTCATGCTTCCCGTAACGTCGGAAGAGAAGGCCCTTACACTCATGGAAATCAGGCTGACTACTAGGGTCAGCCCGAATCTGCTCAAGGATGGGACTGAGTTCCGGATCCGTAGCAGTGTGCTCAATGAGTTCCTCTTTCAGATTCTTACGAAGGTCGTGGGAACCCACAAGGCAAGTCATATATTCGGGGTGGCGAGACAAAGCATCCGCAACATGATTATAGCAACCTTTCTTATGTTTGAGTTCAAAATCATACACATCAATCTCATGCAGCCACCTGGTCAATGTGGTTGATGGGTTAACCTGTGTCTGAATCGATTTCAAAGTCTCATGGTCTGAGAACACATTGAAATGGCGACCCAAGAGGTAGTGTTTCCAGTGGTCTAGTGCCTCTCTCAAGGCATAGAGCTCTCTCATGTAGGTGGAAGCGGCTACCTTGTGACTGGGCATGCGTTTGCTGTAATATTCAAGCGGACGTAAGCCATCACCATCGTCTTGCTGCAGTACCGCACCAATCCCATACAAACTCGCATCCGTAGTTACTACGAATGTAAGCTTGAAATCTGCAATGCGGAGTACTGGATGACTCACCAAAGCCTCTTTCAGTGCTTCAAAGGTTGTCGTGCATTCTTCATTCCATGCATAGGACACATTCTTGCTTGTTAGTCTAGACAGCGGACGGGCGATGATAGAGAATTTTGGCACAAACTTACGGTAGTATGACGCAAGACCAAGAAAAGAATGCAACTCGCGGACATTCGCAGGTTGGGGCCATTTTTCGATGACCTCAACCTTGGTTGCCTCGGGCTCTAGGCCTGCAGCAGACAACCGGTGTCCAAGGTAGATGACGCTGTCCCTCCCAAACTCAGATTTCTCCAAGTTGAGATGGAGTTGCGCGTCCTTGAGGATTTGCATCACTTCCGCAAGGTGTCTCATGTGCTCCTCCATCGATTTGCTGAAGATTAGTATGTCATCCAGATACACAACAACAAATCGATTGATCTGGTTGCGGAATACTTTATCCATGAGACTTTGAAAGGTGGTTGGTGCATTCGTGAGACCGAAAGGCATGACCGTGAACTCGTACAGCCCATCGCGAGTTTTGAATGCAGTTTTGTGCTAGTCTGCAGGTTCGACTTCAATCTGGTGGTAGCCAGACTTGAGGTCGATTTTGCTGAAGACTTTGCACCCACCTGCAGCGTCGAGCAGATCATCGATACGTGGCAAAGGGTATGCATTCTTTCTTGTGATTCTATTCAATCTGCGGTTGTCAATACACATCCGCAGTTTGCCTCCCTTCTTAGGAACAAACAGAACCGGTGCACCAAACTCAGACTCACTAGGTTTGATCCATCCCTTCCCAATCATCTCATCAATCTGCCTTCGAAACTCCTCCAATTCGCCTGAGCCCATTCGATAGACACAACCTTTTGGAGGAGTGTTGCCTTCAATCAACTCGATTTTGTGCCGGACCGGACGCACGGGAACTCCATGCGGTTCGGCCAAGACTTCAGGAAATCGGTTCAGAAGGTTGCGGATTTCCGACGGGATTTCCGGAGGGGGATCATCACTCTCAGGAGCAAGCATGTCAGTTTGCATAGGTGCAGCCAAAACAACAGATTTTGCAGCAGAATCACTTGGTCTAGAGATGGATGTGGTAGAGGTAGAAGTAGTTGCATATGAGGTGGACACAGCATGCAAGGTAGAATCATTATGTACAGCAAAAATAGAAGGCACATGAGCAGGCCTAACAAAGGCTATATACATTTACTCATCAGATTTGCGCATGCGCCACTTTTTGCAGAATTGCATTGCATTGAGAAAGGTCACTTGGGACTCGCGCGGCTCATCCAAGAGGACTGGACGCTCGATTCCCATGGCATCTTTGACCATGAATTGTGAGTCCTTCCACGTGGTTCTTTCACATTGGGCCTGCAACCAGCCCAAGCCAATAACCGCGTCGAAGGGGCACTGATCAAGGACATAGAAGTTTCGTTCATGCGTGATTGTGCGGTCAGCGTCAAAGGTAGTGCGCACACCTTTGACTGCATACGTCGATGTGACAACCTCTTGGTTGCCTACTTGGGTCCGACAAGGATTCTACAAAGCCACTTGCTTCATCCCCAAGCGTGCCTTACGAATGTCGTGCGGTGAGAAGTAGTTGGCGGTTGCACCACAATCAGCCAACGCACGGATGTAACGGCCATTAATGTAGAGTTTGAAGAAGATCAACTTCGTCCTCCCTTGCGCGCGTTCTTGCTTCATGTGAGCCCAGCGCGTCAACAGAGCATGAAAGTCAATCTCTTCCGACTCTACCCAAGGCTCCTTGTATAGGATGTGTAACTTTTCAGCCTTGGAATCAGCATCAGATGGGGTTTCACGAGAGGTTTGCTGAGTGGGATCAGAATCCAAGGAAGAATTTGTACTTACATGTTCAGCCTCCCCATCCGTAGAGTGTGATGATGATGCCTCTACCCCTGTTGCTGGTTTCCCTGATGCAATCTAAGACAGTGTTGGACTGAATGTCCCGGTTCGGTGCAATGCAGGCAAACTCCTTTCTTCACCCGGTGTTTCCACTCACTTTCACTGATCCGGAGATCTACCCATGGTTTCGTGGCAGGATCTTCCGGTTTGGGTGGAATCTTTGCTCCCTTGGGAAGAAGGATAGTGTTAGTGTTGTTCTTCATTGTGGTCCTCGGTCCCTTACTTTTAAAGGCAGTCTTTTTGAAGGCATTCGTGGATTCATCGCCATTCACATACTCAGACTCATGGGTTGACAAAGAGCAAGATGCCCCGCAGTCTTGCTCTTGATCGTCATCAAGAGAAGATTTTTCTACGAGGTTCTCCTCGTCAGCCTCAAGCAGATCATGCGCTGCAAAACGTTTGCGGCCAGTGGTCTTTTTGCCACTTGATCCACCCGGGAGGTCTTGTGCCTCCAGCTTGACTAAGTCCCGCATAATGGTAAGCCAATCTGTATATCCGCTGAGCCCGAGCCCTAGGCGATCTTTCAGAGTAGAGGGGACCGTACCTTTTATTACATCCAAGCAAGACTGCGCAGTCATCTCCAGATCCGAAGTAGCAAAGAGTTTACTGACGTACTGTTGCAGACTGTGCATGGTGCCGGTCCACTTGTTGTGCTTGAGCTTGTCAAGCTTGAGTCTTGCTTTAGCTGCAGCATGTGGATCAGCATATTGTTTGATCAAGAGATCCTCAAGTGCAGCAGTAGGCGTAGCCTTCAGCCATTTGTTCAGGTCTATTCTCTTGTAGCCTGATTGGACAGCTTGGGTTTCTAGGAAACCCCGCACGACGGGCTCCACATTGGTCCCCAGGATAGACGACTGAGTGGACGGGGGTGTCCCCAATACATCGAAGTAGGACCGCATAGAGCTGATCCAAGACTCGACGTCGTCCTTTCCGTCATACTTGGACGGAATCTGCGCCGCCTTTCTGTCGATGTAAGCAAAGCTGCCGCCTGGCCCAGCCATTGCTGGGTCCGGGCCCGGGGCTGCAACAGTTCCAGGATTCCCTGCACCACCACTTGCTGCTGCGGCAGCAGCAGCAGGAGCAGCAGGGTTTCGACCTGCCGCAGATCCGGATTGGCTGTTAGCCACACTCAAGGATGAAGAAGAAGTAGAAGAAGACACATTTAGAGGGGCAAAAACAGACTGACACGCAGCACTAGAAGCAGGGTAGGTAGATGGAAGGATGCTTTGGGCTGGCTGCACATTAGCAAGCTGTTGCAGCTGGTCACGGTGCTGTTGCGCCATCAAGGCCATGTCCTCGCGCAGCTTCTTAAGCTCGTCGAATACTTTGGCGAGTTGGCCAGCGTGGTCCTCAACAGTCCGGACATCCACCAAAGCCCGGAGGAGTGGAACGGTTTTCTCCTCCACCTCCTCATCGGTTAGGGCAGGCAAGGTACAGAAAATGGCTTCAAGAGCCTTGACCTTCTCCTCCCTCTCCTTCTCTTTCTCTTCCTCCTCCCTCTTCAATGCTTTCTCGTAGAAGAACCGGTACTGCGCTTTCTCTGCCTCAGGGGCAGCGTCCATTTGCAGCTTCCAATCTGCTGCAGATGCCATGATGGAGGATGAGGGTGTCAATAAGTCTCTCAAGAGGGGTCCGTACTTCCTCACTTGCCTGGGACGAACACTCCTCTTCCCTCTCCTCACTCCCTCAAGAGCAACACTCAGAAGCTTCTCTCTTCTCTCTCTCTCTTTCTCGTTTGCTATCATGTAGACGCAGGCATTAAAGAACCCAATGGAAGAAACAGTTTGAATTCAGTCAGAAGAGAAGGTAGAACTCCTAGCCGGAGCGACAATTCATTTGGACTGGAGAGCAGTCAAAACAGCAAAAAAAAGAAAAGATCGGAGAGATCTGATCCAGCCACACAGTCTAGACTGACTACGTATGGGGTCCTCCCAAGCCTAGCCAGCCTCAGCTCCGTGAAAACACAGCAAATCAGATTCAAGATGTACAGCGAAATGCAAGAGAGAATTGAGTGGTGTATAAGGTGCGAGTCAGGCGGCGGACTGTGCGGTAAAGTCTGATAAAACGTCCCAGCGGAGATCCCCTCCGCAGCGAGTGTTCTGGTCCGAAAGCATAAAGTCCATATTCCAATCAGATAGAGCAAGGTAACTAACGTCAACAGATTTGGCCTGAGGGGCCCTTCTGTTTGGGCCCCGTCCCATTGAGCCCCAGATGGTCCCAGTGGAGTCAGAACCGGGTCCCAACCAACAAGAGTTCCACAAAGACCTACTCTGTCTCTACCAAATCAAAAAAAACAAAATTTTGCCCCAGAAAGAACCTGTAGACTACAGCCGTTCAGAATGAAATAAACAAAGCACTGTAGAGATATATCACATGGCCAACAAGATACTCCATTCATTCACTCATCAGGTAAGTAGGCAGTTCACACACCTCACACACAATCAAGACTATGGAGGATGGAAGAAGAACCCAGAGAACCCCAACAGGCAGTCAATTCCATGCACACACTCATGGGCACCCTGGTGGCACGACACTTACC